GATGTATTCAATGCAATTTATCATTCATCACTAATGAGTTTGATTAAACCGATAACATTTCAAGCAACCGAATGGTTTCCTTTTTTAATCTTCCAGGGAAGACAAAGCTTTGTTGATCTCGCAATGCCTGACAAAGTTCTCGTAATGTCGGCTTGTTCTTGTAGCTAGCATTTGTCGATGTTTCAGACTCACATTAGTAGATACTATGGACTCGAACCATTAATTCCTTTTACCATAAAAACTAGAGTAAGAGATGAAGAAAGCTAAAATAGAGAAGAGCAAAAGGGCACCCTTAATCGACTATCGCCTCCTCTTCGAGACAACCGCAATCCTTATTTTCCTTGCGGGGGTATTTTAATTTCCATTACATTCTTAGCCTAAAACTCTACCTAATTAACAAGTGCACGTTACCAGTTCTGTGCCAAAATGGACAGAATGAAGTGTCATGTATAATGGTAGGAAAAGATACTTACACAATGTGATTATCTGAATTTCAGCAATAATTGGAGCCCAACATTTCCACTTACTGCCAAATTTTGTTTCATTTAATTTGGCACATACGGAAATTCAATCCTCCAATCATTTTCACGTATTTCATATCACGTAGACCTTAAAAAACTCGTAGTCTCAAAAACGAGGGAGAAGCGCAATAATTATGACTGTTAACTCTTCCTGAGGAAAAATCAGTTGCAGCGCTCAAAATTCAAGATTCTTTCAATTATTCGGCAAATTGTCACTTCGCACAGTTGGTTAAAACCTAACTTAGGGATAGAGCATCCTAGACCGTTTGGCGTAACGTTTCCAAGTTGGTCTATCGTTATCCATAACACTCTTCTTCAGCTCTATATTAAAGCCTCTGGCTCTTTTATTGCCTTTTCGTTGTTTGTTCCTCGCAATACACAACTATTAAGTGGTTTCGATGCAGATAAATATATTTATTTATCAAAAAAGATTTTTAATGTTATTTAGTGGTTGAGATAAGATAATAAGGCAGTAAGGCAATATCAATCTTACTTTACAAGTATTGAACACAATAAAAAAAATACAAGACTCGAGATTTAACACAAGAGTTAAGTTTACATATTTACTACTCAAGTTGCTTCGTTGAGTAACCTCTTTATTCAAGTGCATGTTGCCTGCCTCATCTTCGAGTTCTGTTCACGAAGATTCGTGATTTTTCAACATCACAGTTTGTTGTCAAGTCCGTACCCATATATAGCTTTGTCAGTGTTTCATTAGTTTGAACTCATATATGGCTCATTTGTTATCTTGTGGGGACTAGCATAAACTTTGTTAATTTGGCTTGCTCTCAAGCTATAGGATTCGTGGGCCGCCCTGTTCCGAAAACGTGCAACATCTTTGTATAAGAGATGAGTGTGTATAAGACATGCTTCTTTTCAAAGTTTTCTTCACAGCACATAGCATTCCGTAAATTATACTCACAAAGAGCAAGCACACGATAATCGAGCTGTCGCAGTTCTCATCCCCAGTTTCCACTCTTACCGCCAGGAACGCTTGGCATTTGGCCCAGGAGAAAACTGCTTCCATTTTTGGACTCGGGCTTTCATCCGAAACCCGAGTAAAAACCTTTACTTACTTTCGATTACTATTCTTTACTAAAAAATAGCTAAAACGGTACAACTCCTCCACCAAATCGCATTCGAAGCTTTGCGGCTTGTTATGTTGTTCGTCTCGCCAGTTTACCACAATTATTTCGCAATTGCACCAAAAGAACCGCAGCCAAACGCGAGCTCGTGCTCTTGTTTTGAACACACTTTCCTTCTCCCTCTCGTGACTCAGGGGTACACGTAAACAGAGTTATTGTACAATCTCTTTAACAACAGGCCATGACAAAATTTCAGTCACTGGTCCGCTTCTGGTTGTGAAACTATAGCCGTACGTGCATATCACCTATACCTGTATTTTTCGACGCAGGAAGGAATTGGCTCTTTACATGTAATTTTGTAGTCAGGGGCAGCGCAATTAATACTCCTACCCGCATTATGTTCATTGCATTCTTGAAGATTATATTTCTGGAATTTTAGAATGTTTTAGGACTCTGCACGTACTATAAACCATGTTGTCTCGCGCGAATAGATCTGGTGTACAAAGAAGGGAAAGCTATCTACTGACAATGCACGTACCCCTTCGATCCTTTGAGTTTACTTGAAGTAGAAAGCACTAGCTTCCTGTATGTATTTCTATATTTTTCATGTGTTTTAGAGGAAATTTTGTGAGATGTAGCTTCGCAATTTGACTTGCTTTGTTTTCTGCAGATACCAACAATTCCTACCAAATTGTCTCCAGGGAATAACGTGTCTTTTATTACACCTGACCGTTATAGTGCGTGATAGTAAGCTAAGATATTTTTCGCGTCGTCTAAAATATAATTGGAATTTTTTATCTCTACCGAACTTTCCTACAACGACAAAAACGTTCCCCTCTGATAACCTTTCTTCGAAATTTGACGGAGGGATAAGCCGCTCTTCACGCTACTCTCTGACCTTTTAGTAATCCCGGCATCTAGCAGCTAAAAATGAAGTAAGGCAAGCAGAATTAAACAGGCAGTATCCCGTCTGATTATCGAAAGTTATCTTTCCTAGTTTCCATGAAACAGCCGCGAAAATGACTGCGCATGCTCAAAGTTGTTTGCCCATTTTTTTGCAAGAGTGATTGGGTACCATGATTTTCCCATAGAAAGAACTCGCGTCAAAATGGCGGTGATTCAGTTTAAAATACCGGGCATTTGTTTTCATAATAAAAGATATATATATCCGCAAATTAAAATCGCCTGTTTTCGGAAAGATAAAATGCCGCGTTTGGTTCAGGAAAAGGTCAGCCAGGAAAGTCGGAAAGGCTGTAACAGCTTGCAGATGGACGCTGTTGTGGAGGGCACTATTAACTAATCCAGGGTTTCCATTTCAACTTGTAACCTTTAAAAGTGATTTCTGTTTATATTTTTGTCCAGTAGAGTTGACTTTGTCTCTTTTCAGTAACCACAAAATATTTAAACCACTTTTAAACAAGAGAAATTAGAGCTTTAACTGCTTTTTAATCCAAGATTAGAGTTAATCGTCCTGTAATCACCTTAAAAACAATGATAAGATTTTATTTCCACAAAAATGTGCCCTTTTAGTATCCAGTTGAAGAACTCGAACGGATAGAACTGTATTAGTTTACGTAAGAAGCCCTTTTAAGGCCCTAAAAGACACGGGAAGACATGAAAACGACATTCCCAGCCTTACTAAGATGTTGTCATTGCCTCTGACTAATTGTGAATCCAGACATATACCATCTCTATTCTCTTAGCGGGGCGACTCAAGTACTACCACAATAACTGTCTGTATTACAAAACATCTGCTGCATGGATATCATGCCGATCAATATTCTAACTGTTTCCAGTATTTTCTGTTGATACAGCTGTTCAGCATCGCTCTGGTCTCACTCAAAATGAAATTGTGCAAATTCACGAAGGCCCATAAATTTACGATCTGTAGAACTGTGATATAATACATGATACCTAAAGCCCTAGACACTTTGGGTTCATGAAATATTTCATTACCGCCGGGTATTTAAAGATATAGACTGTAGAATTATCTAGATGCTGCCGCATTCAAATATTTATATCTTCAATTTGTCATTGTCTCTAAAATGTCTGGTTTTATTACTGTTTTGGA